TTGTAATCGTCCTTGGAAAAGGTTCAGTATTGAATCTGGTTTCTGGTGCATTACCAGAACTACACTAGTTCCTGTTAAAATGTTGGCTTTGTAATAGCATATACTTTCATACATGTATGTATGTATGTATACAACATTACCATCAAACTTACACTGCGCCTTCTGAACGCTTATTTAAGGTAACTACACCATGCAAAAAATACTTGATACGGTGCTGGCCAATCGGAGATCGAAACTATGCGAGATCGTTGAAGCCATATATGTATATTTATCCCAACGTCTAGGTATTTTAGATTAGCACTTGTAAGGAATCGAAAGAACGATGCGTATAGATTTCAAAAGGAACTATGTTCTAAACTAGATAATTTTTTTAAACCGAAAACATAAACCCGTATTCAAAGGTCACAGACCGGACCTCGTAAAAACATTGAAGACCAACCATTCAGTGAATAACGTTTACATACCGCACGTTACCTTTTGCCCAGCAGCATATCACCTTGAAATAGGTGCACTCCTCAGAGGTGACTTTAACGCACACCACGATATTTGGCATTCAAGCCTGCCAACGACAGTAAGTAAATGCACTTGGCTTAACAGATAGGCCATTTAATATTCTGCGCAATGATCGAGAACGTTATGGGCAGCTGCAGCAGCTTGCCGGACATAACAATAGTTAGCGCTGGGGTGATAGACAGCAAAACGAAGTGACCTAGTCCATAGTCACCTCGATTGGTAAACCTGCCGACTGGGACAGCTTCGCGGAAGTTTGCGAGAGAAAAATCAGCGCTCACCCCACACCAAGAGACATTTATGCTGGCGAACGGTAATTCTGCAAGGTGCCTACTGCCGCATCCACCGCTTCATCTCTGCTGGATGAGCTTGAACGGAACCGTAAATGGAAGCAGACCTGGGTCCGAAGAGCCCGTTGTGTTGCCGTTTTCGCTGGATGCCGACCGGGCTTCTAGAAGTATAATTAATTAGGTTTATTTACAGCTTCTCCTCCGCTGAATTGGTCATGTCGTACTATTTAATCGACACAAACGCTTCAGCTTGGAATGTAATCGAGTCTGAACTTACTGGTGGTACCACAGGTATAAGGAAGCCTCCTCTGAGATGGAAACACCGGGTGGAGAAGGACCTGGCTTCACTTTGTATTTTAAGTTAGCGTCAGTTGGCACAAAAGAGAAGCGACTGCCATCGTTTATCGAACTCGTCCAAAATCAGTCAGCCGGTTACAGCCTCGAACGAGAAGAAGAAGGAAGGTGTTGAGGATAGCAATTTTTGGCGAGCGTAAGTTTGTAAGACAGTCGACAAGATGCTGAGTCCTGCCATTCTCAATGAAAGTACTCGACGCTTTTGATTTCCCCTTCGTCTTGACAGTCTCGGCAGAAATTTGTGTTGAAAAGTCCATTCTTCTCGTGTGCATTCCCTTTAGGCAGTGAACAGTGATGATTACAAAATTCTCATTCTGAGTTCGTCCGAGGATCCATCCTCGTCGAGACTGGGCCAGATTTGGATTGCCACCCACCATCTTCGTTCTGTGCTCCATATTCCATAGGTTTTAAGCCACAGGTTGTAGGATGAAAGCGATATAACCACTTCATGGGAGGTTTTTGTAGTAGTAAGGGGCCTTCCAATCCTGGCCAATGGTTTAATGTCCAGGAATCCAAATAATACTTGTGATGTAGGTGCTTGAATGCCAGCTCCTTTTGAATAAGCATGTCTGCATTCGAAAGCTGTTTTAGAGGCAGTTGTCCAGCATTCTAAAAATATTATAGTAGGACTGTGCCTTCTTTTAGGTCAAAATTAGCCCTAATCAGCTGCAAAGCGATTTTTTCAATAGCTATCAATTGAGCTTGAAACACACAGCAGTTATGTGGAAATTAGAAGAAAAATGTAAGTGAATGTTCCTGTGAGTAAATACCACTTTCTACTCTCTGTTCCAGCTTGAAGCTGTATTTGACGGTAGAATTGTAATAAGGTTGCAGAGGGAAGCCACTTTCCAAACTGGCGGCTGGTGTTGAATAGTTTTGATGCATCAATTTTGTAGGACAGATGTCGAGTACTTCGGAGTGATCAAGTCCTGTGTCCCTCCATTCTGCCAGAGCGAAGGATAACAGGTAAGAAATTGATTAGGGTGAAGTTTAGCGGTCCCGAGATGAGCATGCACTATTCGTGGGTTTCTCTAAGAATGTCCACCAGGACAAGACAAAACAAAACAACAACAATATCCTAGAAAATTCATAACAATAATCGTAGTGCGCTAAGTTTACCGATATATACATACTGATCAGAGAACGCGACTTAAAGCATAGACTGATTGTTTCAGAATTATTTCGGTAATTAACGGCAGTTGATCCTGATTAATACATGCCGCTAATCCTCAAAATTAATGCGGACCAGGGGAATTTTTGAAGACAACAATGGCCAAAACTGCCAGTCCTTGTCTATTGTATAAGTAAGCAAACAAAGCAAGCGAGTTTGGTATTCGCGGTAGCCGAGTGGAGAGGGCAGGTTACTACAATTCCGAAGCACCCAGGTGCGATCCTCGGTTCGAGCGATTGCCTAAATTTTTTATTTTAATTATTTATTATCAGTTAATTAAAATTTGTATGGCCTTATTCATAAAAAATAAATTAAGTTTAAAAAGCCGTTGACGTTTTCATACAATTTTCAATGTATAAAGCTTTTTTAAATCTATTTTATTTTTTATGAATAAGGCTATTAGAATTTAATTTTAATGAAAAAGGAAACAGCCATTATAATTACGAAAAAATATAAGTAATAATTGAGTGAATTAAAAAAAAGCTAATGAATACTCCACTGGTAGTGTGACTAGAACACAGACTTCCCGGCTCGTTACTCCGCATTACTGCCATCTGCAATAGTACAAAATTGATCAGATCAACTGCGCCGTTAATCCGGATCAACGTTGCTGTCTGTCCATGCCTTTACTTCACTTGGTACGAAATATCATGCCAGAAACCAGGAAACATCGTAATCAGGTTTATTTGAAGTTTTCGTTGCGTCGAATTTTTGCAAAAAAAAATAAAAAATATGTAATAGGTCTGGAAGATCTATTCAGATTTTTTGACTATCCGCATAATCCGGATATTTGAATATCTGAAGAAAAATTCCGAATATTTGGATATCCCAACAGTTTGTTGATATTCGGAGATGCGAATTTAAAGAATAACGAAAATACCAATTGCAAATTAATGAAGCGTTCTAAAATTTATTTTGCAACCTGGTAGATTCAGTAATTTTGACAAAAATTTTACACATCGCTAAATAAACGGATATCAATCGGATATCCGAATTTAATCCGTATACGTGAATATCCGAACGAATGTTCGAATATATGTACATACGTATATTACCAGCCTAGGATATGTGTGTTTACGATTTTCAAAAATTGCGAGCATTTTTTGAATGTAGTAAAAAAAAATTCGTCAAAATATATTTCAGTAGCACAATTTCTTATGGGCTGTGAGTGGGTTAATGTGAAAAACTGAAAATTTAGATACATTTGCAGGTACACAAAAACTTTGCAACCACTCTAACCTCACACACAAACACTGCAGCAACTTGTGTTCGAGATGATTTTTCATTATTTCTGCGCATACGTGCAAATTCGTCAATTAATGAATGCGAGAGCGCAATTAGACAGCAAATACAAAAAACAGGAAGCCCCCACAACAGTACAAAATTTAAAATCAAATCGTAAAAGCAATTATGCGCGCCATCTATCGGCCCGCGCAAAAGGAGCTGAAATGCTTGATGAAATCGAACAAAGCGAGCGCATAGCGGTAGAGAAATAAACCGTAAACAAAACAAACTCAAACTACCAACACAGCGTACTCATTCGGATGCATTGAAGTGGAGGCAAAACATAGGCAACCGCCAGAGTGAGATGGCAAGAGTGGGCGCAAATTTGTAGATCAAAACAAAAAATGGCAGAATTGTGGAATGGAAGACTGAAGTGTGTGTGCGAGTGTGTGTGAAGAGCTAACGGATAAAGCAGCAGTAGAGCGAAAATCTAGAATCTCACGGAAAGAGGAAGTAGAGAAATATTTTTTGAGGATTGAGTGCGAGTGTGTAAATGAATGCGTGTGTGTGCGGATGTATGTCAAATGTCTGATTTGCTTTGCTGTTTTGGCGAATGCAAAGGAATTGCATTGAAAAATTGTTATACATACAATTTACGAGTGAAGGCAGGAAGGATAAAAGGTAGAGCGAGGACAAAAATTGGGTTTGGTGTAGAGTTTTTGAATACTGTTACGGCATGGCGTAGAAAACGCGCATTCACATACACACACATGCTAGTTTAGCAGTGTGCACAGTGATGGCTGCCACTTCCGGCTACCATATGTGGGCTTTTGATTGCTATCAACTATACTTAGAGCTGTGGCAAAAACGGAAAAAATATTGAAATAAAATGAAATTAGGGTATGAGGGATGGAAACAAAATAATATAAAGCAAAAAAAAAATAAAATAAAAAATCGTTAGACAGCCGTCAGACAGTGGTGTGCAGTGTGAGTTGCAGGCAATGGAATAAGGGTTAGAGCGCCCAACTGCCAAACGCCTGCCACCCAACTTAGTTAAATGTATAATGTGTATTAGCAAAAATCCATAGAAATGCTGATGAGCGCTGCAGACAGCATTGCTGCGCAGCATTTGCTCGGCTAGTCGATTTGACGACGATTCAATTGCTCAACTAGCCAAGCAGCAGTGACGTTTTTCATTGGCGAAAAATCAATAAAAATGTTTGTATAATTTGCTTTTAAAATTTTTGTCCAACTAAACACATACCTACAAATGTATCAATGTACATACATACACGCACAAACTTGCATACAAATGTATGTGTGTACGTACATGCATGCATATGTACATAAAATCAATTCGACTTCAAAGGCCTCGAGACAGATTAATTTTAATTATAGGTTCGAAAAAAAAATCTACTAATAAAATATTTTTTACTACTTTTTCTACTCACCAACATTGCCGTAGACATTTTCGCTGCTTGTCGTTGCATCCACACGCCTCTGAATTTCACACTTCAATAATTCCGCTGCAATTCCCTTGCATATGCCTTGACGGCTGCAGAAATTGTACGCACTTAAAAATTTACTTCATTCCGCTTAGGCAACGAAGTGTGAAAAATATGCAAACAAATCTTTTATTTACAAGTACTTAAGCCCGTTCGGCAGGTTACCACACTCGCCAGCAGCGTTGCGTCCCACCCAATGGCATTTCTTTATCAGTATTTTTTCTTCCTTTATATTTTTATTTTATTGGATTTTTTTTTTTACTTTGTGCACAACAAATTCTCACACTTTGGCTCAAAAAGCGTTTTTCTATGGCACTGCTAGCGTCAACGACTCGCCTCAGACTCAGACTCCAGTAGCGTCTCGGACTCCGACGCCGTTACCGTTACCCGTCACTTTTGCCATTACACTACCAAAACCAAAGTACAAAGTGTTCCGCCACACTGTGTCGTCCGTGTGTTCCTCCTTTCAGCGGCGCTGCAATCTTCTCCACTGCCGTTAATAAAATATATTTTTCCTTACATTTACGCACACACGTACATACACTCCAAAGCTTACTCGCATTTGCAGAGACACACTTAGACAGTAAGTACGGCCGTACGTCGCAAGCGACGAGGAAAAAATGGCGTCTACTCTTCTACCTACGGAAAATCCGTTTGTGGCACTTTGGCTCTTAACGTTTAGCTTTTCTGTTGCTGGCTGATGGCCGCCACAACACACACTGCCACATGTGGCCACCACATCGTCACAGTGATAGTATACCGTTATAGTCGGTACTCAGCGACTATACAACGACAACGATGGGGATGGGTGGCGAGGTCGTCGGCGGCGCCAACGAATTGTTGATTTTGTTGCTCCTCCACTCGCCAAAACGCTCACAAATGCGCACCAGCCCTCCTACGCCCACTAACACTTAGACACACACACATACAATCAAACGTGCTCAGCAGCCTGCACTCACTCGAAAGAATTATTTGTTGGCGTTGTAAAAGTGTTTAACTTGGCTGGCTGGTTACGTTTGGTTGTTGGTGCTGTTGGTATTGTAGGCAACCGTCCCGTTATCCCTAGTGTTGTCATCAAATGCCAATTGAATAATAATTGCATTTATCATAGGGTAACGGTAAGTTGGTAAAGGTTTCATTGCCTGCTGCTGCTATTCAAATATGGCGCTCACTCTCTCGCACA